GCTTACGCCTGTAATCCTAGCACTTTGGGAGGGTGAGGTGGATGGATCACTTGAGGCCAGGAGTTCAAGACCAGCCTGGCCAACCTGGCGAAATCCTGTCTCTACTTAAAACACAAAAATCATCTGGGCATGGTGGCATGCACCCGTAGTCCCAGTTACTCGGGAGGCTGAGGCAGGAGAATTGCCTGAACCCAGGAGGTGGAAGTTGCAGTGAGCCGAGATCACGCCACTGCACTCCAGCCTGGATGACAGAGCAAGACTCCGTCTCCATAAAAAAAAGAAAGAAAGCAGATTTCCAATACAGATATTCTGATGAATATCCACAATTGATCTTCTGAAAACTTTTACACTGGCATAATCTGGGATTATTGGAGACTATTTATAGTAACTACAACAAATAGAAAACATTTCCTGTTATTACAAATTATTTTAAAATATTGTTAAAAACTAGTCTGATTGTTTCACCAAAGCTGAAAAACAAGAAACGAAAAGCAACAACAACAAAACAAACTTAGGCCATGTATATCTGCTCTGAAAAACACAAATCAATATATGCAATCTTGAAAAACAGTGACCATAAGAAATTAACAACTGTCTTCTTTCAATATTGGTAGAGTATTGGGTTGTGAACTCATGAAGAAAGAATTAAATACTGTATTTTCTTTCTTTCTTTTTTTTTTGAGATGGAGTCTCGCTCTGTTGCCAGGCTGGAGTGCAGTGGCGTGATCTCGGCTCACTGCAATCTTCAACTCCCGGGTTCATGCGATTCTCCTGCCTCAGCCTCCCCAGTAGCTGGGATTACAGGCACGCACCACTGTGCCCAGCTAATTTTTAAATTTTTAGTAGAGACAGGGTTTCACCGTGTTGGCCAGTATGGTCTCAATCTCCTGACCTCCTGATCCGCTCGCCTTGGCCCCCCAAAGTGCTGGGATTACAGGCATGAGCCACCAAGCCTGGCCTAAATACTGTATTTAAATCTGAAATTTAGTTTTGGGTTTCTGCTTCTGCTTCTGTGTAATTGAGGTTCGAATTTTATTTAATGTGCTGCTTTAAATAATCCTGCCCAAAAGAGAAGTATTTCAGGCTATTCCCTTTCTAAGAACACTATTTGTTCACATGTATTTGTTCACTGATAGACAAAGTTTTATTTTAAAATATTTATTCCCATAAAGATACTGAGGTAAGAATGCTAAGGTTAAAAAAAGAACTAATATTTATTGAGTGCTTAAAATGAGCCAGGCCTTGTTCTAAGTGCTCTACGGGGATGACTTCATCTAATTCCTCCCATGGGCCAATTCCAGGAGGGAAGCACTTGCTATCCCCATTCTACAGAGAGAAATGGAGTGGGGAGGGGTCAGGTTCGCTTGCTCAGGGTCACACAGCTGAGACCTCAGAGCCTGCTCCCTGACCCGTGAAGTTCTCCCCAAGAAACTTCCAAGTAAACAGAATCAACAGCCACAGCTGAAGCTTGCAGTTCTTTCATATGATAATCATCCCCTCAACAGTGACTTAGTCTTCCTCACGCACAGGCATCGGGCTAGAATGGGCACCCACAAGTCCTCTGCACAGTGGACAAGGGCAGATGACAGACCTGGGTTGGGGGACACACTCCACTTTTCTTGGCTGTGTGAACTTGTGCAAGCTGCCCATAGAAAGCGGATAAGAAGAATACCTCAAAGATGGCGCATGATGAATACTATTACTATTACTATTATTCTTAATCATAGTTTCTGCTCTTGAGAAGCTGGGGTGGAAGGATGTATTGACATGTCAATAATTACCAAACAATATAGGAAGTTCTATCCAGGAGGATCGTTCAGATCACAGTAGAGGCCTGAAGGGGAGTGGGTGGGTACAGAGAGGAGGAACAGGAAAAAACAAGTAAACTGCAGTGAAATTGAGGAGGGGGCTCTCCTTAAAGCTAAGTCCTAGACATAATGTTTCCTAAGTTTATTCTGTATACTGTGCTTAACGCAAATGCAGATGCTTCCTCCTTTGCAGATTAAACAAATAACATTTATTGAGTACCTTTTATGTGCCAGGCATTGCTACAGGATTTTCCCCTATACTATATCTCATTTGATGCTCACAACACTCTGCCGTTTTGACATTTCGGTTGGTTCTGATTAGAACTTAGTGTTTTTCTGCATCTGAGTAGGGACTATTGTTATCAGTTTGAAGACAGTGGCTGACCTGCCATGATTGACAGCCCCTTGTGGGCCCTTATATTTGTGTTTGTGCCATGGGTATACACATTGGCATTTGGGTGACACTACGAGTCACAATGCAAAAAGGGAACTCTATACACTGCACGTTCTTTATCTTTACAAAAGCAATAAAGCATGGGTTTCCAGTGTCACTTTTCGGCGTTTCTAGTGCTAATCTTTCTCCTGTGCTCGAGGTGTCTAGTGAACGTGTTGAGGATATGAAATTCACTTTTCCTTCCCATCCAGAGCTGAAAGCCTGCGCTGCTCTTGCTCTCCGTATCTCAGTTGAAGTCCCAGCTGCAGCTGTAACCCAGCAAGTTTCCCAGATGGGAATCCAGGGCTCACTTCCCACTCAGTCCCCGCGTCCCTCCTGAACAGCTCTCCTTGCTCCTCCTCTCCAGGCTCACTGTTCCTGTCCAGCCCTCCTGATCTCCTTGCCTGGCGGGCTGCATGCATCTTCCTCCTGCTCTCTCTCTCTCTGTCTCTCTGTCAGCCGCATGCTGTTCTAGCTATAGTTCTAAGATACAGGCACAATTCTTCCTTCACTGGAGACTTGCAATGGCTCCCTCCTGCCCACAGATAAAGGCTGAAGGCCTCACCTGGACTTTTCCTCTCTCCCCCCACCCTACTTTTACCAATGCCAGCCAGACAGCTGCTCCAGCAACACTGGGCCACCTGCCCAATCCTGATTTTGTTCTTTTGTTTTTGTTTTTTTTTTTGAGACAGAATCTCCCTGTGTCACCTAGGCTGCAGTGCAGTGGTGTAATCTTAGTTCACTGCAACCTCTGCCTCCTGGGTTCAAGCGATTCTCATGCCTCACCCTCCTGAGTAGCTGGGACTACAGGCATGTGCCACCACGTCTGGCTAATTTTTGTATTTTTAGTAGAGACGGGTTTTGCCATGTTGGCCAGGCTGGTCTCAAGCTCTTGACCTCAGGTGATCTGCCCACCTTGGCCTCTCAAAGTGCTGGGATTACAGGCGTAAGCCACAGTGCCTGGCCTCACTTTTCTTTTACTTTTTTTTTTTTTTGAGACGGAGTCTCATTCTGTCACCTAGGCTGGAGTGCAGTGGCACGATCTCAGCTCACTGCAAGCTCCGCCTCCCGGGTTCACGCCATTCTCCTGCCTCAGCCTCCCGAGTAGCTGGGACTACAGGTGCACGTCGCCACACCTGGCTAATTTTTGTATTTTTAGTAGAGACAGGGTTTCACCGTGTTAACCAGGATGGTCTCAATCTCCTGACCTTGCCTGCCTCGGCCTCCCAAAGTGCTGGGATTACAGGCGTGAGCCACCGCGCCCGGCCCTCACTTTTCTTTAGAAGCATGTTACTCTTCCAAGACAATCAACAGCTAACTGAGTTCTCATTAGCCGGGCATGATGGCAAGTGCCTGCAATCCCAGCTACTCAAGAGGCTGAGGTACGAGAACTGCTTGAACCCGAGAGGCAGAGGTTGCAGTGAGCGGAGATCATGCCACTACACTTCAGCCTGGGCGACAGAGTGAGACTCTATCTCAAAAAATAGCTTAGAAAATTTAAGGACTGAATGTACTTTGTGTTGAGGAATAATTTACCTCTGTTTCCGAATATGTGATCTACCTGGGTTTGACTCAGGGCCCTAGTTGCAATAGCAATATGATATCATTGCATGAGCTGACTGGTCCAGAATAGAATGTCATCATCATAAATTATGTTTTAAAATTAAACTTTTAGTCTAGAGGAACTTCTTAACAATTGTAGCAAGTGTTTATAGATTTCAAAAAAAAAAAAAAACCTTTAACATTGAGAATTGGGTAAAAGTTCCAATAACTTTCCAATCTAAAAAAATCACAAGATGATTACTTTTGTCCCTTCCCTTTGTTAAGAACCCAATGTGGATATACCCTAGCAAACTGTCTTCCCACAATTTCTTTCAAAAACGTTTAAACACTTTTTAAAAAAGCAATTTGTTTCCCACTTAAAGTTTAAAAGGTACGGCCAACCTCTAGTCCTATACAGGCCTGCGGGAGTTCGCAGCAGGATTCTCATCCTGTGCAATCTGATAGTAACAGATCCCCCATTCTTGTTTAAGAACTCTGCCAAGAAGTTAAGGTTCACAACACAAACATACTCAGAGAAAGGCATTGTAAACAGAAACGCAATTGCAAATATAGTGCAGAATTAAACAAATTCGTTTATGGTCCTATGAATGTAAAATAGCAAGTCAGATGGTTATCTCGGATGTCATCCAACATTCTGGACTGCAGCAACATTCTGGCTATGATATTAAAATAGAAAAACCTTTGCAGAGCGTTAACCTATCATTACACGGAGTAAATGGCATGGCGCTGCCACCTAATTAGCAGTGTGGCTTGCATCTATAAAATAGAATTAGCACGACTGCTCCTTTTTTATTATTAGTTTGTGTTTCCAGAAAGGTATGACCTTATCTGTATGGTTCTGTTCATTTACGCCCATCTACAAAGGATTTAATTATATTCTTTTAGGTCTCTACACTAAGGAAATTGAAAACTGCCACTGCAAAATTAAAAATGCAAAAGAAATTAGTGAGCAGATTATTTACGCCATCACCCTCCTCCTTTTGGAGACAAAGACTGGAAACCTGTCTAAATAAATAAGGCATAAAATTTTCAGAAAAGAAAACTCCAGACAAGAAAATTATTACCATTCTTCTTTTCTTCTTTCCCACATATATTCTGCAAGTTTCTCTAGTTGTCAAAAGGGAAATCTATAAATACTATAAAATTCCTGAAAGTTACATAGCATTAGAGTCAGCAGCCAGAAAATAGCAACTTACATCTGAGGAAGGTGATTCCAGAACAATGCCGAATCCTAGAACGCGGCTCTCCTCCGGGGAGGTGTGCTCGGCTGCCTGGAGAGCAGATACCTCAGAGGTCACCGCTGCCTTCTTCTCCATCTCTGACCCACTGGGCTTCTGTTTCACAGTAAGAGGTTCCACAGTCTTTGGGGGCACTTTTTTCTTTTTATTTCTCTTTCGTGAGACAGCAGTTCGCTGGGAGCATATAAGGGAAATTGGGGGTTGTTGTCTGTTTTGAGTTCCAACTGCGAATAATAAACAAAAATATGGTACAGGCACGTGTGTCTGACTGAGGAAAACTTATCTCCAGTCTATCCATGTGATCTACAACTGAAACCGAAACGAGGAAAACTCCAGGATGAAGCACACTAAATAAATCTCCCACTGGACCTAATGGTTACCAAACACAGGCTCTGAAGCACTTTCAGGTCCTAAAGGCAGAACAATACTCAGGAGAAAGCGTTACTGCAGGTGAATCATGATAGCATACTGCTGTTGGGTTCGATGCTGGGAAAGCATCGTGAGCTGTGAGAAAACAGAGAGCATGGCTTCATAAATCATAGGACGGTTTTAAACAAATGAGAACTTCGGAACTTGAATTTAGGTGGAGATGGCTGTGCTTCCTGGTCAGCCTGTTTCAGGACTATTCCAACTGTCGTTTGGGGTTAGACTGATCAATTTCTAATAATCTACAGGTGCCAGAACTGACAAAGATGAGACAGCGATGATCATTTGGGAGAGACTAATCAAAAGTGGCAGTCTGGGATGATTCTACAATAGGGACCAGTAAGCATGTGGGAAAAGCCTGTTAGTTACTTAATTAGGACCAGCCAATCCTTCCTCACCAAACAAATATTCTCCACACATCAGCCACCTCCAGAGCACCCTTCTACATGGCCTCAGACCAGGCCACTTCTTTAGACCTCGGTTTCACATAATTGAAGGAGTGATAATATCATTCTGTACAAGTCAAGCAAGTCAGTGAAATCCAGACACAGTTCCAAAGATGAAAAGCACAGTGCAGGAACCAAGTATCCAACCTGATTCTATACTTAAAGAAATCCAGGATGGTAAATTATAGTTCTCACAGGTGCACTCTGAGAAGTAATGTCTGCTAGCCATTTACACATACTCTCTTGGAAAGTGTCATTGGAAAATATGGAATCATTGTTTAAATCCTCAAGTATTAATATAGCTTCCTAAATATGACCATAGGATGTCTCTGCTTTTCAATAGGAATGAACCTATAAGACAAGTGTAAACTAAAGGTCTTTAAAGGCACATAAACATGGATCACCTCCTCTTACCTCTTATCAGTCCGAAAATAAAGAATATTTACACTTTGATCCTGGTATTTTTGTCTCCAAACTCAAAAGCAATTCATAAATATTAGAAGCAAACTAATTGCACTACATAAGAGCACAGAAGCTTTTAAACCGGTAATTAGTCTAGCTCACTGGCTCTCGACCTTGGCTGTACATTAGAATCACTCGAGTTTAAAAAAACTGAGATGCTGGGCCAGGCATGGTGGCTTACTCCTGTAATCCCAGCACTTTGGGAGGCCAAGGCGGGCGGATCACGAGGTCGAGAGATCGAGACCATCCTGGCCAACATGGTGAAACCCCATCTCTACTAAAAACACAAAAATTAGCTGGGCGTGGTGGTGGGTACCTGTAGCCTCAGCTACTCGAGAGGCTGAGGCAGGAGAATCACTTGAACCTGGGAGGTGGAGGTTGCAGTGAGCCGAGATCGCGCCACTGCACTCCAGCCTGGCGACAGAGCGAGACTCCGTCTTAAAACAAAAACAAAAATAAACAAAAAAACTGAAATGCCTCAGCCCCACCCCAAACTAAATGAACTGACACTTCCAGACATGCCGCCTGGGAACCAGCATTGTCTGAAAGCTCTTCCAGTGATTCTGCTGTGCAGCCAGAGTTGGCAACTTCTCTTTGCTCTATTTGCATTCCCCCTCAAGGTTGGGTCTGTACCCTCAGAATAAAAGGGACCCCGAAGAATGATCACGATGGCCTAGGCCCCAGGCCTCGCTGAGCATCATGATTCTAAATTAAAAATGAAAATGTTTTGGTTTAAGGAACATGGGGACTATCTGAGTTTTTCTTCTTTTGCAAATCTAGACACAGCCCGAGTCTCTGGCATACAGATCTTACCTCTAGGTCTTATTCCTTGTCTTCTTAAAAGAAAGGTGAAACTTTCTAAATGTAATTTAAATCTAAGTCTTCAGGCATTAAACCTTAAGTAAATCTACCCACGACACAAATTTTTAAGTTTAAGAAAATTAAAGGAGAGTAATTTATTCAGTTTATCCTTTGTGCCATCCTACAGCTTTGGAATCGTTTACCTCCCTAATCTGCAAAGGTTCAGAAAAGAAAACACAGCGACAAAGTGGCATTTACTTAATAGATTCTAAAAAGGCTTCCGTCAAGGATTTAAATGGTTGCAATTTGTAGTTTGCCATTTCAGTAGTAAGGAGCTTAAGTGACAAAACAAATCATTACAATTTCATATGCATATTTTCTTAAGTGCGAACAAATTCCTCCTTGGAGAAAAGAAACCGAACATCATGAAGTAACCTTTCTTTCTGAGCTCCTTATTTAGGAGATGTTAACCTCTGCCAGGTTAATAAGAACACAGATTATCGTAGTGGAACAAGGTGAGTCCAACGCTTACTGACCTGAGCAAAATGCTTCCTTAGGGTAAAACCAAATTCAGTGCTTAAAAAGATGCTCTTTTTCAGAAAGTAGCTCACATTACTTCAATGTGATCTTGGGTGACTGATAAATCTAAGTATTAAGCTTTTTATATCAAAACCACATCACTGAATATTAAAATTATACTAGAATTCACTAAATGGCATCCTGAACAGCCTCTGAGTGACGACCTTCTGGACTACCATTCTGAGGAAAGGGCAGGAAAGCTAGTCACGACATGGCTAAGAGCAAGTGGTGATGTCCCTTGACAAGAGGGAAAACTTAATACAATGATTTATTTCTTGTACCTGTGACAAAAACAATTCTGTTTTCCTTCAGTTGTGAAGATCAGAAAATACAGCTGCTATAATGAAGACCTAGACTTCCAGACTTCCATAGAACGCTCCATGGACTTAAAGGCCACGCTAATGAAACAGCTTAGGCTTGTACCATGCCTTATTAAGTTCATTTACAACCACTACATCATTCTATTTTGACAACAGCCCTGTGAGTTCGACATGAATTCTCCATTTACAGACAAGAAACAGGAAGCTCAGACACGCCACACAGCATCAAGAGCAGAAATTGGCGTCCAATCCCAAATTATAAATCCACCGCTCTTCCATCCCTCAACTTGCCTGACGGCAGTGAAAACAAAAAGGAGTAACATAAACAAAGACGACAGAACGGGAGGATCTCTGAGCTTCCGCATCCTGAACAGGAGAGAAAAGCCACAAAGCACAGCCTGGGGCTCCACATTTCTTATCTGCTTAGTCCTTGAACACTGAAGCCCATGCTTCCTCCAGGGCTCCTCCATACACAATTGTTCCCAAATTTAATTAACTGACATTTGTGAAATACTAGGAGATCATGGAATGAAGTCTATTGAGTACATATACATAATTATATGAGCTGTATCAGTTGCAAGACAAAACATGTTTGATTTGCTAAAGGAAAAACGGATTGTAGAGAAAGCTGAAAAAACAGATACTTGAAAAGGCACAGCAAGACAGCAAGGTGAGAAGAAGGCTTTAATAAAAGCACAATGAACATTCCAATGGAAGATGTCAGATATGCATTAAAAATCAAAGGACTCATTCTGAGGCCTGATCCTTGTACCTGCTTGAATTTGCATTAATTTCCTCATGGTCTTGAGTTCTTGTAGAATGGCCTGCAACGTTGACTGGCAGTTACAAGTACAGCAGTTTGATCCAGCTGATGAACTCACCACTGGAAGTTCTCCTGAGCATGAAAGAAAAGAATGACTACTCCAAACAAACCAAAAAAAAAAAAAAAAATCATAAAGGGGTGGGGAGAAAAAAGAAAGTATCTTGGCAGGATTTTGAAGCATGTGCAATTATGATGAAGCTGTGCCTAAGGAAAACGTACCCACTAATTATCACAAGCTAAATCTGGGGGTCTGACTTTATCTAATTATCCAGGCTCCCATACTGTAAGGTGCGTGCTGTGGCGCTGTGTGGGAGCCTGCACGCACACACGCACACAATGAGTGGGCACAGCAGGCCTCCCTGTTGTCAGAGCCGTTCATCTCAAATAACAATACCTCAAAAACTCACTCGAAACACACTCACGCTAGTTCACACAAAAAGCAAGCCCCGAGAACAGCCTTGCAAAAAAAATTTGGTAGCTGTGTTTAAGAGTTCATATTAAAAATTAAATGAGTTCTATTGAAAATAGTTTTGATATTAAGCACATTATTTCAAAAACAAAGAACTGTGCACCCATGAAAAGTTTTAGAATACTCTCTGGGTGTGGCGTTTGGGGTGGGGAAGCACAGAGGAGCAGGGATGGGAGGATATATTCAAATTGGATGGGTTTGAGGGTACTGGTGGGCTGGCTGGTTTTTCTTCAACTTAATCAAGAAAATCTTTCTACCTCTTTTCTCCATTCCCAGGTCTTATCTTTCCCTTGCCATAGCCTCTTTTGCACTGTTTACATTTAACGCCTTTTCCTTAGTAAACCTATCTTATTCTGTTTCTCTCATAGGTAAGCAAGTATCTTCCATTGTCCTTAGAATAAAATGGGACATTTGGACACTGCTCTTACAGTGGGTTCCCTCCAGCACCTATTCACCTGACCACCATAAAATGGAGCAGTTTAGAGACTTCCAGCGCTTACATTTTCTCACAGGCCAGCAAGGTAAGTTCCATGGATTTGTTCCAATTACATGTTTTATTATACTTTATATACCTTAAATCCTGTAATAGGCATTATTTGGGAATACTGTAGAAAAATTCACCAGAGCAAAACCATGAAATACTTCAAGATAACTTAGTGATTGTAGTGGTACAATTATTTACATTCAAAATTGTAGCAAGATTGTAATGTTACAACTTTAAAATTGTAAATAATCCCAATTAAATACTAAAGTAGTCACAGTTATATGTAATGTATTTCTTTCTTTTTTTTTGAGACAGGGTCTCAGTCTATTGCGCAGGCTGGAGTGCAGTGGCATGATCCTGGCTCACTGCAACCTCCCCCTCCCAGGCTCAAGCGATTCTCATGCCTCAGCCTCCCAAGCAGCTGGGACTACAGGCATGCGCTGCCACGCCCGGCTAATTTTTGTATTTTCTAGTAGTGATGGGGTTTCGCCATGTTGGCCAGGCTGGTCTTGAACTCCTGGCCTCAAGCAATCCACTCATCTCAGCCTCCCAAAATGTTAGGACTACAGGCGTAAGCCACCACGCCTAGCCATATTTCTACAGAAAACATAAAATCGATATCTATTCTCAAACTGATATGGGGGAATTTATGTTTGCAACTTTTACTAACTTGATACTTTTCAAAGTAAATCCACTGTCCCTGCTGTATACTGGGAAACTGAACACTGTTTACCCAAAACTTACTGATGTGGGGTTTATTAACTTCATTCATACCTAAGGGTATTTTATTTCTCTTATTGTCTCTTCCATGGTAGTAGAGTTAGGAAGGTCTTAATGAATATTTCTAGTCACTATTCTAAGTACCATCTTCATCATTTTTAGAGGACAAAACCAAACCTTTTCAGCTTGTTATAAATCATTTTCTAATTTTAAAGAGAACTGACTTTTTACTTTTATGGAGGAGTCTTTAAAGAGCTGTGTCCCTCTAACCTGGATGCATGCCAGCGTGGGAACTCTGATACTGGCTTATGTAATATTGAGAGAAAGACAAGACACCCATACATCTCTGGGGTCCTTCGCTGTCTCATCAATGTCTCAGGATGGCTTTTCATGCCTCTGAACCGCAAATTGCGGTTTTAAAAAAAGTCAAAACAGTTCTCTTTTTCTTGAACGATATTGTGAAATGAAAATGAATGGAAAAAAATCCTTAACTTCTTTAGGAATCTGAAAATGCTTTCTTACCTTTTTCTTGTTCTCTTTGTGAAAACATAGATCTGCACATCTCTACATAGTTTTAGAACAAATATTATAGCATCCAATGTGGCTGGATAGAAAACTAATATGACCACAAAAAGCATCAGGTTTTTTTTCTTAAGCTTTGAAAAAAAAAATTGTCATTTGATTCTTTTCTTAACAATTAGGAAACTTAAATTGAGAAAATTTTACTTTAAAGGAATACTTTCCATTGCTAATGAAGCACGTTATAAAATATGGATCACGGGGTTCAGTACTGGTGTGGGATGCTGGATTATCACTGACCCTCTCCCGCCCCTGCCTTTATCTGGGACTCTTCTGATAATGAGAAAGGTGAAGGAGTAACCAAGAGGATATGTTAGTAACACACCATAGGACCAGGAAGCTTCTTTTAAAGACAATGGGGAGCTCTTTCTGCCCTAATGTTCGTTTTTTTTGTGACAGTAATATCTGTATATGGGCACAAAATGATCGTTTTTACTTCTTAAAGGGCTAAAATCTCTACCAGGAAATCTTCACTTATAATATAGAACCCCCTGTCTTTCCTAATTCTCAATTCTGTTTTTTAATAGTCTTCAACTCTTTCCTTTGTGTCTCCCTGTCTTTTAAAGTAACTCAGCAAAGGCAGGTAATTATGGGAGGGTTTAATAAATTGAACTCAACACACTGAATATTTAGAAATAAAACACAACGGTACAAACCCCCATGAGAGCCTTCTGAATGTTTGTTGACAACCATACCATTGGAGCTTGCAGCAGGGTGGGGCTGGCTTTGGAAGGTTCTAGAACGGGTGCCATACTGCCCTGAGAACTGTACACTCTGGGGCGGTAGCTCATTCCACACACCACGTGAAGACGGGTGGAGGCTCTGTGGGGCCTCAGCAGAGGAGTTCAAACGCGGAGGCCAGACTAAATCCAGGTCCTGGGGCTCTTCTTTTAGTTTCTCTCCTTCTTTGCCAACTCGCTGATAGATCCGCCCAGTGCTGTCGTTCAGCAATCTTCTCATCCCTGTAATTTGCTTTTTTATTTCCATGCTTTCATCTCCTAATGGAAACAGGGCCAAAGTTAGCACTCTAAATTAGTGAAAAAGAAAAACAGTTCACTAACCAAAAACAAGAGAAAGAAAAAACAACCCTTCTTTGGAAATAAGATGACTGATTCTATACACTTAATCTGTAAAATGCAAAGGCAGGAAAACTGACTACGGTCTGAAAAAACCCACCATATTCCTGGTGCCTCTCATTTTAATCTCTGCAAGTCTCCTATGATAAAAGAGGTTTCTTGAGAGTGTGTCATCAGGAACAAACATCACATTCCCTCTTTGGAAGCATTTTCTGAGTGAGAAGGTGATGAGGAAACAGGCTGAGACAGAAGGTCAAGGATAGAACTGGACAGCGGAACCCCTCTACTCTGATGTGCCACAGCCACCCGTGAGGAACGGGCAGGTCACTAACGCGCTCTGCTGTCTTGTCAGCTTCAGCAGGCGGGGCGAGGACAAGGAAGCAAGCCTGGACTGGCAGGGACGCAGGGCTTCACTACTGACACAATGACCTCCAGGATGACACGCTGCTGCCGCTGGAGACATCACCTTCAGAGAGGATGGCCGAGGAGAGAGAGAGGCGCTGAGTGTGGCAGCACGCGAGCAAAGGGGACTCTGTCTTCTGGGCATCCTGATTCCCATCACAATCAAACCCTGTGATGCGGGTCCCTGCCCACTCGAGGTCACTGGCGGTACCAGCCACTGGAAGGTGGAAGTGCCAGCCTCCCCACCCGCCCTCCCCCCAAACCAACGCACTGCCACTCCCCTGCAGCGTAACTCACGTGTGAGAGGTCACAGGCAACTGTGAAATTTCACCTCACCTACACTGCTGTCTTTTTTAAAGTTTGCTCCTCAACTCAGGAATTTTTTTAAATTAAAGAACTTCCTATAGTTGCCTGGGGATAAAAAATTACTAAAGATGTCTATAAATATGACAGAGAAAAATATTGTTTTCGGCTCCGGGCCCCGCCGGTGGCTCCATGCCTGTACCACATTGGGACGGACGAGGCGGGTAGATCACCGAGAGGTAGGAGTTCGAGACACCGCGACCCAACATGGAGAACCCTGTCCTCCTACTTAAAAATGCAAAATAGCCGGGCCATGGTGGGTGCCATGCCTGTAATCCCAGCTCTCAGGAGGCAGCTGAAAGCCAGGGAACCACAGCTCACCACTGCGGGGGAGCAGAGGTTGTGGTGAGGAGTATCGCGCCCACTGTCCACGCATCCCAGCCTGGCAACAAGAGCAAAACTCCATCTCAAAAAAAAAAAAAAAAAAAGAAAGAAATCTTTTCTATCAATAATAATATCAAAGGATAATGATATCTAATTAGGAGCTATTTCAAACACATTATCTCTTAAACTGTGCATCAGCCAATACCTTCATGAAGATGAAGAGAAAAAAGGATTTTTTTCCTCAAACCCAGAAGATATAAATAAAATCTTAGGCCACTCTGGGGCATGGTGGCTCACATGTGTGATTCCAGCACTTTGGGAGCCTGAGATGGGCAGATCACTTGAGCTCAGGAGTTTGTGACCAGACTGCCCAATATGGAGAAACCCCGTCTCTACAAAAAGGACAAAAGTAAGCCCAGCGTGGTGTGTGTTGCCTGCGGTCCCAGCTCTTGGAGGCTGAGACAGAGGATGGCTTGAGCCCTGGAGCCAGACAGGTTGCAGTGAGCCGAGATCATGCCACTGCACTTCAGCCTGGGTGACAGAGGCAGACCCTGTCTCAAAAAAAAAAAAAAAAAAAAAAATTCTTAGCCAGGGGTATGTGCGGTAACATTCATGCAGTTACTCTAATAAATGCTTGAAATTTAAACTAAGAAAAAGAAAAGGCTAACAGACAGCATCTGTTAAGAAAAATACAGCTCCTACAAATAAATACAGCACATTCAATATAATGATGTTTTAATGCACTTAGGATCATATAAGCGAAGTTTCGCTGTAGAACTGGTAACTGCACAATAACCTAGCCATTTTGTGCTTTCAAGTTAGATATATAGCTTATTAATACATGTGTTATGTTACTAAATAAGGAAGGTTATTTTGAATTTACTGTTCACTATTTTGAAGTAAATATCTTTAGTTTTTTAAAATGATACTAAAAACATTACAGAATATATTAATTCTGTCTAACTGAACATGGGTAAACACAGAAATAACACAGATTTCCAAATTTACAATATTGCTATGTGTTGTTGGCATATGCTTGAGAGGAGAAATATTCTAATTTGAGAAAAAACTATTTCTACTTCAAACCCCTGTGAAATTTACAATATATAAACAATAAATCACATTCCAGATTTTATGAGAATGAATGACCAAGTGAAATTTAAATAATGCAGAGTCAGCAAAATTTACTACTCTCTCAAGAGGCTATGGAACAGGGTGTGTCTGGAAGAGGTCCCAGAGGAATCCTGAAAGATAAGCCCACAGGCAAATGTGGCATTAATTTCAGCAACCAGACACATACATTTCCGGCTAGTTAACACCACAATTCAAGCAAAAGGAGGTATCTTTTCTGTGTGGTTTCCACTCACAGCCCTCCCCATCAGGCCAGGCGCACCTGCATTGAGGGCTGTGCAGAGCCTTTGCTGACACAGGTTGGTGGCCGCCTCCCCCGACCCCAGGTTCCCTGAAAAGAGCAGTCATAGCCAGAACACATGGGGCAGACACCCATCCTGGCTCTCGAGTCCAAGCCAGCTTGCTTCTCCACGCTAACTGACACATCACAGGAGAACGGATGTGTCTCCTGTCAAAGGTCCTGCCTCCACTTTGTAGATAGAATGCTAGGATACAGTGCTACCATTAGGAACAGGCAGGTGTCATAAGGATTCTGGAACCTTCCGAGGGCAAATCTGCTTTGTCATGACCTCAGTTTCAGAGTTCCAGAACTTTTGCCTATGAAAAGTACATGGCTGAAAATACAACCTGAGTTTTCCGTAACTTTGTATTTTCATTTTGACAACCAGCACCCTAAGCTGCAGGTGGTGATGGGGGAGGAAGGTGGCAGGTGTGAGCGGTTCTGACAGTGGGCTGCCCCTGCCGTGTGCAGAAACATGTCTCCCATAGGCAAAACAAAATGAAACAAATACACAAAAAATCAGGACGTGGGGGTACTGAGGAGGAAGAAACAGTGCTGAAAGGAAGAGGGCAGGAGGCCAGAAGCAGGTCTGTCCTCAGAGGAAGTAAGCTCATGGCTTAGCTCACTGTGGCACATTTTAAAGGATGGAACACGGGGCCGGGCACAGTGGCTCATACCTGTAATCCCAGCACTTTGGGAGGCTGAGATGGGCGCATCACCTGAGATCCGGAGTTTAAGACAAGCCTGGCCAACACAGTGAAAGCCCACCTCTACTAAAAATAGAAAAATTAGCTGGGCATGGCAGAGCGCGCCTGTAGTTCCAGCTACTCGGGAGGCTGAGGCAGGAGAATCACTTGAACCTGGGAGGTGGAGGTTGCAGTGAGCCGAGGTTGCACCACTGCACTCCAGCCTGGGCGACAGGGTGAGACTCCATCTCAAAAAACAAACAAACAAACAAAAACCCAACAACAACTAAAAGGATGGAACACAGAAAACTGCAGTAACTGCAGAAGTCTGTGCTGAGAGGAGAGCTGAGAGGTGAGCGGAGAGGAGAGTTGAGAGGTGAGCGGAGAGGAGAGCTGAGAGGTGAGCGGAGAGGAGAGGTGAGCGGAGAGGAGAGCTGAGAGGTGAGCGGAGAGGTGAGCGGAGAGGAGAGTTGAGAGGTGAGCTGAGAGGTGAGCGGAGAGGAGAGTTGAGAGGTGAGCGGAGAGGAGAGTTGAGAGGTGAGCGGAGAGGCGGCAGGGGAGGCTGAAGAAGGGCAGAGTGGGGAAAGTTTCTTAGGGGGGATGACGGGACGTTCAGGAATGGTCTCTGGGGTTTACTGAATCGCACTCTCTTCACCAAGCAGCAGGAGCAGCGGAGCAGGTCACCCCTGCAGCTGCTGCCTAGGAGGAGGGAGTCCCGGGGCTCCACCCCACGGCAGGGGATGATGAGTGACAGGCTTTGGCAGACAGGAAGAAAGAGGTTTCCTTGCACATTTGGGGCAGATGGGGTAGAGGATCAGAAACGAGGCCTGAAGACTCAAAGTGCCAATGACAAAAAACCTGAGTCAACCTAAATAAACTGGGGACAGTGGGTGCTGGGAGCAGATGAGCAGGCCGAACTGTGGAAGCTCAGTTGAGTGTGGTGCAGTGTTAGTGGGGGAAAGGACAGGCCGGGCTATTACACCTACACTTGGACTCGCCTCCTAATTACCCCCACCTTCTACTGGATACGAGACAAGTCGCTGAATATTCTCTAGTTTCCTAAATCCTAAAGCAACGGTCTGAACCATAACCCAGGGGGCATATGGTAGTCCAGGAGGGGCACAGGATTTTCATCGTCACCTAAGTGTTAACCAAGCACTTCGTGGCTCTAGAAGTCACATGCGTCCTTTTCGGAAGATTGGCTTCTTCTATCATAGTGGAACCCAAGTTCTTTGATAAATTAAAAAAAAAAAAAAATTGGTGAGTACATAGGAGATTGAGATTGGAAGTATTCATTGACTTCTATTGGTATTTCCAGTTATAATTAGTCAATGACTTCTCCAGGTACAGATACCAGGAAAAGGAAGCTCTTTGAAGCAATGAGCTCGCCAGCGAAACAGGACGCTATAAGGAAACCCGTGCATTTTTTCCTGATCTCTTTCCAAGAAGCTGAATCCTTTTCAGAAAAACTAACAAAAAGAAATCTGACTAAAATGGATCCATGCCACATGGCTGCCTTACTGGCAACCTGAAATCCTTTAGAGTTTAGTAACTATACTTCTTGGACAAGATCTAAAAAGACTGTATGCGGGATTCTCCCCTTCACTAAATATCAAGACTCTACTAGATCACGTTTCTTTACACAGAGAATTTATGACACACAGTCTTGCAGGATCTGATAAACGTGAGGGCAACACAGAAGTCACCACCCAAGGTCTCCCTTAACTTGGCTAAGA